TCGGTTGGAGTGTAGCGCCGACTGCATGAGACTAGCTCTCACTCGGCACGACGATAAGAACACGCACAAAATATTTGAAAAAGAGCATAAGGTGAAAGACAATTTGAAGCAACGGGAAATTGCCGCAACCGAATGCGCAAAAAAGCAGAAACAACAGCAAGCAAAGTGTACACAATCATACTGTGCACATAGAAGCTGAGAGAATAAATCGCGGGCATGCACAAGGAACAAACCGAAAACACATTCTAGAGAGTCTTTTTTGTTCTCCGGCCTTGTTTAAACGTTTGTTTACACGCGCTTAAAACTCACTTTGACAGTATTATGTCAACGCGCGCGAACATCTTAAATTATGTCTGTGTGATTTCATAAACAAAGCACATACAATCTCTCTCGAGATCTAAGCAAAAACAGCAACAACAAAAGCCGCTACGACATGCGCTCGATTAAATGAACCATCAGTTGGCGTAGCTGCCGCACTAACTGTTCAATAATCCACAGGCATATTAAGATGTGTTTGTGTGGTGGTGCCATAATTTCTCAGTTCTGTAGCATTTGGATGTGTGCGTGTAAGCCCGTCACAAGTGCAGCGGCAAACGCCGATGGTTCTTGATACAGTATGCCCTCTTTTTCATACGATAGGTCAAGGCAACTCTTTCCTACCGTTGATATCGTTGATAAGAAAGAGAAAGAGTCGCTTGACCTAATGCATGAAGAAGAGAGCATACAGTATCAAGAACCATCGGCGTTTGCCGCTTCGCTTGTGACTAACACACAAAAAAGCAAAACGTTACAGAACCGAGGAAACGTCACACAACCACAGCTCAATTTGTCACACATATAATAACAAGTCGTCTTATTCGGCGTTGTGAGAAAAAATCATCTGGCATATTGTAAGTTGCATACGCGCATAAAGGACACGACGAAAAAAAATCTGTTCTCGCAAAAAGTGAATTTTGTCTAGGCTAAAATGAACAGTGAGTTTGTTTTTTTTTTCTCTTTTTTTTAGAATTTTATTTAGAGATTTTTCCAAAGAATAAAACAAAGTGCAGTGTTGTGTTTTTTTTCACTGATACTTAGTACGGCACGTAGAAAAACGTCGATACGTTCATAATTGGTTTAGCTTGAACGCGCCTTCATTTGAAAATCGGAAAAATGTATATATCTTTGGACAAAAATAAAGTTCAGGTTTTTCAACAAAGTTGAGGTTTTTTCAAATCGAATGAGAAAAAAATACGAATACCACCGTCGTGATTTATTTTTGGTTATAATCGCTTTTAGCTTCAAATGGATGTTTTTTTTCGATACATGATTTAGCATACAACAAAAAATCAACAAATAATGTGCCAAATGCCGTTGAAAATAGAAAATAACGATTTCTTATCAATCAAAATTTTAAGCCTAAGTACATTTTCTGTTGCAACCAACGCGATGAACGAGCAAAAAATGTGTACATTTTGTGTGTGCTGAATGAACAAACGAATTGACTTTCGTCCGTCCGTCCATTCGTTTGGGATTTTCGAAATATTTTCGATGAAAAAGAGAATTCGTTACGCTTGTGACGTTGTGCTCGGACTTCTTATTCTATAAGAACAAAAGAGCCGGCAGTCTGTATAGTTTTTCGATCACATTTGCATTAGTTGCGCTCGCGACGAAGAAAAAGAATAAGAACAAAATTGCGCGACACATCGAGAGTACAGATATGAACAAAGAAGGAAATTCACTTTTTCATATCGATTGTTTTTCTGATGACATCATCAAAAAGAATCTTTGGAACTATCTCTTGTGTTTCCAGTTATTATTGAGTGAGAGAGTGTGTGTTCGATTTCAAGCGCTTCGGCGAAAAAACTGCGTTTCATCAAAAGTTACAATGAACGTTATTATGTTGGCCCAGCGATATAAGTCCCCGGACGGACGGTATTTTTCTAATTGTTTATTTGTTTAGTCTGGTTCCAAACAATGCTCACTCGGCTCACATTTCCTTTAGTATCGCCAGTATTTTTCGATATATAAGCAAATACACTGAATTTCATTTGAAAGCATCCAATAAAATCAAAATGCATGAATCATCAGGCACTTATTTATAAGTATCGCTCTTAAATAAATAATACCATCCGATATTCGAATGATGCCTAAAATCGGTTCTGTCTCGGTTTAATCAGAAACTCCTTAGTGTGTACGAGAAAAATTACTTTGCTTGTTTGTTTTATTTTCGTTCGGGCGTAATAATTGAAGACACTCACACACATAAATCGTTGTTCTTTCAATCCGATCTGATTGACAAAACATATTCTTTCAAAGCAAAGCGATAGTGAGCCAATCGGTAGACAAGAAAAAGAAATGGAAGAAGAATAAATATGCACATTGCACATTGTTTTTTCTCGATTACCTCCCAAACCGTTCTTCTTAAACATGGATTTCTAATGCAAGAACAAAGTGAATAATCTAATCTGAAACAATGGGAACCAAATACACCGATGAATTCAGTGGTTCCAATAAATAGGCGTATGTGAATTATTTCTTTCTGTAATTTAAAATCTCAAGTAAATGATTGATCTTCGAACGATCACGGCAGTTGACCCATTGTTTGGATGATGGTCAAATGAAATTGAGAAATCATTCAATTTATTTTATGAAATACACACGAACGCCAAAATTTGTATCATTTGTTGTGGCTTATCTTTTACGGAGAAACGACGCGCATTTCCATTAAGTTTGGACAACGCAAATAAAACGTCTTGAATTTTATTTGATTCGACGACATGACGACATTAAACGGAACACTTTCTTTTAAACTTTGATGACAAGAAAAACAAAACATAATAAATAAATCCGAAAATAGGTTAATGGAAGTGAAACAACAGGAATAATTGCGCGTTTTTCAATCATAATATTGTGTTATGCATTTTATTTTTCGAGTGTCAAAATATGTTCAGTCGAACGGGTGTAAATGTTGTAATCCTTAATGTTCACATGACCAAATATGTTGTGTGTTTTCGTGTCGACGATTTGGATTCATGAATTTTTTGTCTCTAATATTTGTGTGTGCATGGTGAACGGAGCACCAAGTGGAGCGAATTGAAAAAAAAACCATCAATTATATTTGCAAACTTCCTTGTGAGCTTGGAAACAATTGCATTCGCTCCATGCTCAAATAGCTTGTAACAAATTATTCTTCTCATATTCATAGTGTTCTATTTGTGTTTAGGTTTGGGTTTCCAAATCGCCAAATTTATGGTCAATCGGCTGAATAAAAAAAGATTTCAATTGTATGTACGCAATTTTTTCGGCAATGAATAAATCGGCTTACACATACGTGGCTTGATCCGAATGAAAAAAAGAACTGACAAACAACTGACAAACGCTGAGTTGAATGTTCTAGTTTTGTGTTTGTTCGGCGCTAATTTGCGCGTATGGTTTCATTTGCCTTCGCAACGAACAAATGCGCTGGCGAAAGGCACAGCATTGCAATGGATTTTTGCATTTAATGCAATCATCATTTTTGGCAGCAAAAATCAGAAAAGTAAAAAAACAAGAAACGTTTCCATTTAGCCAAGTGTAATTGACAAACGTATCAATGGCCAAACTATTTCTTAATTGTCGCATACTCCGTCCCATTTTCCGCCAAAAATTCGCACAAAAATTCTTCTAAAACGTTATGTGCTTCTTTTCCAATACAACCACACACAAAAAACACACACTCGGTTTAAATGTGGCAGATTGAAAATCAGCAACAAAGCAGCCATGACAGCAACAAAATGCCTTGCATCACAAAAATCACACCACACCACACCACACCACATCATTGCTGTAATTTTCTTGTCTCGAATAAGTCGTATGCAGCGGCGTGCTAGCGACCAAATCACAATGGCTGTGCGGTCTAACGGTTTGGCAAAAAACGAGAGAGCAAGTGGTTGTAAGGTGGTTCGACATACCTGGCGTGTGGCGTTTCGCTTGTGTGTGTGCATTCGCCTGGTTTTCACTTTCGATACGTGTCATCTCTTTCAAACTAAGATCAAGTCCAGCTCCTCGCGCCTTTTCAGCGGTGTTCATGTTCATCTATATTTGCCAAAACATGCAAATGTGTTGGAAAACAAGATGGACGCCGCCACTGAAAAGAAGTCGCGTCAGCATAACGTGTTGTGCAGTTGACGAAAGAACAAGAGAAAAAAAATCGTCTTCCGATAATGAACAGTAAGTTCAACAGTTTGTATTGTTTTTTTTTGACAAAAAAGTGATAAATTTTCTAAATTTTGATTTAGTTTTCTTTTTCGCGATATGTTGTGTTGCTATTGTCCAGTTTTTCTGGCCAATGCATTTTGTTTGTGTTAAACGAACGGATATCATCGCTGTTCTAATGAGACATAAAATCGGCCTATAATTTGTTTCAACGAGAGAAAAAAAGAGAAATAAATGATGAAAAGAAAGAAGAAAATATCATTCGGAAGAAAATAAAATACGCTTTTTCTCTTAATTCGCGCGGCATGAGTTCGTGTTGGTATTGATTAAACTGTACTTTTGTGGCTTAGCCATATTATAGATTTTCAGTTCGTTCATTGGTTTTATTTGCCGCCATTTTGTTTTTTCGTCGTTGTTCAATTTGTTCAGTTTGAAACGAAATAATTCGTGCCTGCCAGTTTCAGATCAAGCACACATTTTTTATTATTGCGGGAGTAAAAAAGTGAATTTTCAATTTAATTGCTACCCGTACAATACATTCAAGTTTCTAGTTGTTTGGATTATCGTCGAAAATTTCCTTCTATCGCTTGTGTTAACTAAATAATGAAGAAGAAGTGTTCGATGCACACAAAAACTTTTTTTTTCGTTTCGATCACGAGTTTTTTTCTCTATCGCTTGCC